AAATAGGTTAATATACAAAAAAGAGTAAAACTAGTAGAAAAAAAACAATAATAAAGCAAAAGTTTATTGATGGTATGCAATGGGAATGAATGCTTTTCAAATGCTCTAAGTCCTGCCATTGTTCAATTTATTACACAAAGTAAACAGCCGAGTATGATATATGGGATACGGAAACCATCTCCCAATGCGACAACTTTCAAATAACACTGGTCAATAACAGAATGGGCGGTATGCTGCCCAGGAACTAACAAAATAATTTTTAAACACTTTACCACTATTGCAAGGTCGATCATGTTTCAGATGCAATCAGTGATTGGATAACCAGTTCATGACTTTATTCTAAATTTAAGGATAAAGAATGCTCGAGCATTCGAAACGAAATAGTATGAATTATAAACAACAAGGATGAAGAAAAAACAAAATTAGTAAATTTTTTTCGAGAAGTTGCCAACAGGGAAAATATTATTTGCCTGTTAGAACTTGAAGCTGCATAGCAGCAAAAAAAATGTTATATATGTATTGGTAACGAGCAAGCCAGGTTTTCCTGAAAAAGATGAACTGTCTAACAAATCCAAATAAAAACGTTCCAGCTCTTCAACTCACGAGGGCCCTTATTTTCCCAAGAACCTCCCGAAAATCGAAGCTATTCATTTGCACAATTTCAAATAGTCAGACTAATCCGAGAATAAGTGGGAATTTCTTGTTGAGCCAAATATTCTACAACAACTTTGCATGTATAAGCACCAATTAGATTCTTTCCAATTCACTGTATTCACTCAATTTCTCCCAAGCGGCCTCTTTAATCATAGTTTTGCACAGATTTAATCATCAAATTCAAATATGTCCTTAAAAACTTAAAATTTGTTCTTAATTTGTCCTTAAAGGTTCGGAAAGCCCAATTTTAATCTAAATCAGCATTGAAATAAATCACATTCTAAACTCTACCGACTGGGTTGTGATTTACTTGCTTGAAGCATGGCATGCTCGGTTACTATAGAGTGCTCAAAAACAACAGAATAATTTTTTCTAATGTATGCGAGTAGAATTTGAAAAGGATGCTATGAGAAGGCATTTTACATTAACCACTGATAAGCAGAAATCTGATAAATTTCCAGAAAATGTACCAACTCATTACAACAAAAAAATGCGCAACAACTGTCGTCCGTTGTGTGGGGTCCACACCGCCACAAAATGATTCAAATTATCTGAAATAAACAAATGAATCCCAACCATGCTTGCATTTCCTCTAACCCACGCAACGGATTAATCAGCAGCAATACACTTTTGGAAAACATCGTATTTTTCGATGAATCATAAATAGAAATACACACTCACACATGAAGCAGTCCCTCCACTTACGTCACAACATTCATTCTTTTGATCCCATTTCACACCGCTAGCCCGACCCTCACTTCCTGTTGACTACACGAAAGTACTAATCTTTAGGCAAAATAATCATACATGCAGGCAACCGGAAGTCTCATGTTTTGTTAAATCATGAAACAATAACTATCAACTCAAAGACCGGAAGTCTAAGTTACCCTTTTTAATCTTCAGAAAAAACATCAAACCATCTATCAACATTCTTCATCACAATGAAGCTGTTTTAATGCTACTTGATACTTTAAAATGATGACAAACAAAAATTATAATCTACCGTTCAAGAATTTTTGAACGCAGCAATCTTAATCAGTACAGCCATAAGTAACTTTCATTAATAGTTACACCGCAGGAAAAACGAAACTAATGTGCGAAAAAATTTGAAGGGTTTCATAGAAATAATCCAAGTCTTCTACCATCTTTCATTTCGTTAACGAAATCAGGGAAACATATATAATAAAGGCTTAAAATTCGAGAGCAGTGATGAAGACATACGTCCATGCATGCCTCCCACTTATTACAGGTTATCGATATTGAATATCAATGAAAAGCCGAACTTGTTGATGAAATACAAGGGCACTACGCTCATGCTTATGCTATTCCGAACAAACCCTAATCATTTGGAGAAGATCGAAAAGCATATTATTTAGCAAACTTCGTCAACTATAAATTTTACAATGATAATGCATCGCAAAAATAAGACATTGAGGTTTCACATTTTATGAAAGTGAAAGGAAGAGAGACGGAGAAAAAAAATGTCCTGAACGCTATTTGATCTTTGGTGACATGCATAATACAAAAATCGGTGGAAGTGATCTGTACAAACAATGAACGGTTCCTATACAAACAGGATAGTGCATGAAGGTTAGAACTGGTTTTGAAAGCTTCATCTCTTCAATTTGGTTCTACTTGTTTCAACAGTCTACCACTTAGAAAACCTTTAAGTCCAATCTTCAACTTAATTTCATCGAAAAGTTTCAATTCTCTTCATTTCCTCAGTTTTCCAATTATCTAAAAACTGCTACTGATGTACCGTAGTTTTAAAAAACAAAATTTCCCACATATGGAAGAAAAAAAATGAGGGGATAATAAAAAAATATAAAGAAGAAATTAAATTACCTGGAAGAATGCCACGTTGTATAAGATATCTCTGTGCTGGACGACGTTCTAATTTCATTCGAAGAGCTGCAAAAGCTATTTTTGCGCATTACTCTATCTCTGTTTGTTGCACAATCATACTTAAAAATAAAATTAAATATTGTTAGCTAAAGTTCTACATTAATAAGTCAACTGAGGAACGTATAATGTTCGATATATCACTTAGCCATCTAACGATTTTTAGGGTACAACAACTATGGGTATTCATGAAAGAGATAACATGTAGACATCAGCTTAATCGATCAAGATCCAGAAAAAATACTTCCTGAAATAAATGAAACAATCCTACAATTAAGCAGTAAGTGATAAATGTAAATGAGAAGGTAACATAGAGAGATTAAAGTTCCGATAATGTTCGACGTAAAACTTTGCCTTAATAGATGTATACTATGTTTTACAGAACAAGAAGAGATAGAAATAAAATATCTCTTGAACTGGGAAATTAAACAGCTGCATTTCTTGTCCAATGTTTCGATAAACTTCTGACAAACTTCTTGTGTAGTTCCGATAAAACACCAGTTTTTACTTTCCTTACTGGTAATCCTCATTTTCGGTTTCAATGAAGATAAATCATTATTGGTGATGAGAATGAAATGGAAGGGTAAGCACAAATGAAACTCACTGTTAACAAAAATTTAAAAGCTGCCAAATATTCAATATCACAATCAAACAGACACCTATTTACATGCATATAAATATCTATATAACTCAAAAAGAAAAAAAAGTGAAATACAAATATTTCTTTGGATATATATATATATATATACATGTTTATATTTATATTTATGTATATTGTATCACATCCTGCTTAAAAATTCGTTATATCGCTTTTATTGTCAGTACTCAATCTTATAGATTACGGCTGTCAGCAACAGCAATAAGCAATAGTTTCTATCAATTTAGATAAAATTTCCAGTGTCTCTGTGTCTGCCCACTTAGTCCTTTGCGACTCTCCATTCTGTCTAGAAAAAAAGAAAAATTACTTCCGATCATGTGGTGTTCTCTAAAATACTCAGCAAACAGGCAATGTGAGACCGCTATTAATACGTTCATCCGTCTTCATGTTTCATCCAAAAACAATACACACTATCCTTTGTATGCCATTCCGCAATTTTGGTCATTACAGAAACACATACGAATGAAACAAAAATTTTGAATGTTAATTCAGGAAAAATATATCAAACTTGGAACACTTGAAACATGAACAAAAAAGGATATTTACAAACAAGGGATTGAGGATGAAAAAGAAAACAACAAAGAAGCTGGCATAGTGTTGATCCAAACAATTTTGCACATGGCATCAACATTAATTTTGGTCTCTAACAGCTGCTACACCTAAATCTATCTTCAAGTAAAATTCCTTACTATTACAACACCAAACGAGATTTATCTTCATTTGTCTTAATGACAAAATTTGTTCCGAAACTAGAAATTGAAGAGAGAACGGAAATTGGAAATGGAACAGGTCAAGTGAAGGAGTGCCATAAAATTCCGCGGAAAAAAAAGCACAATTCAAGCAAGAGAATTTGTTGATTCTGATGTAAGCAAAAGAAAAGCTGAAAAGAATGCATGTAACAGTATGCTAGCTTCTTCTAGGTTGAAGAACGGTCAAAAGAAGTACCAAGCATATGATCTGATGGCTTCAATAGATCTGACAAGCCATTCGGAGCTTTGGAAAACCCTTATTTGCACTTTGGTTCTGTATTTTACTTAATATTACTATAGTTTTAACAGAGATGGGACGTATCCTTACTTCTCACTACCTCTATGATTCAAGGTCTTATCTCGACGAAAATTTGCCGGATAGGATGATGAGGTAGCATAAACTGTAAAGTCCTTCGATGACAAACATTTGTGTCAAAATTACAAATGAACTATTATATAATATTTGCTGCAGCTTACATCACCCTCCGCTATTTGAACATAAGCGACAGAAAAGAATCACACAACTTTCCACTTAATTTGAATGAATCCCAAAAACATCAGCACAAGAACTATGATATTAGAGGCAACTGAAAGTACAGTATTAAAAAGAATAAAACGAACTGGAATCATAGTGACGAGAGGGATCGGATCGAATTATTAAAAAGAATATGAAAATACATATATATACGTATAGAGGGAGGAGATGACAGGAGAGATGCAGCTTTATTACTATAACAGTCGTTGTTGAGGAGATTTTTCGAAACAAAAAACATGTACTACAACCTTACCATAACTTTATCTTAGTAATTCTTACTGTTACTTTCAAGACAATAATTACAATGAATGCCTAATTTTGTTTGAACTTTTTTAAATTTTCAAATCCAGCTAAAACGCTGATTATACCTTCTCTATTGGAATTCATGTTTGCTTGCAGACTTTGAGCATCAACAAGAAATGTGCGTGGAATGAACTGAGTGGGGATTGCTACTGCAGACTGTCGAACAACAGGAACGAGTAAGAGTGGAACAGCTTCAGATATGTTGGTTGTTGATGGCTTAGGTTCGATCCGTCGCCCTAAGGTAGTCATCGATGAGATCATAAATAAGTTCGAGATCAAGCAAGTAAATCTCCCAATTCCAACTTTAATTTCTCGAATATGGAACCTAGAAAAGGATATTAAAATAAAAACGATAAGCCTGGTAGAACAATTCAATAACACGAGCTATCACTGTTATTTAAGATTTCACACATTCCATAGTCCAGAATGTCCATCTATTTGATAAGGAATATTCTAGATTAACCGCAAACTTCTCTTATCACAAGAAAACCTGTAATCGATTGTCATCAAAACCAGTATTTGCCAATACCATTTTTTATCATTGTAGATGAGTGTAAACAGCATTAAATTGCACCTCTTCTTATTACACGGTCATTTGTCGCACCTATTCGATTTATATCATTTCTATCCAGTACCGCTTCTCCAATCACATCCCCACCTCATTGTTTCAGCCTCCACGTATGACGACATCCAGATAGTGTTCGCCGCGTTTTACATAAACCGTAAAATACAAACATGAAAATTGCAGACCATACTGCCAAAAAGCCGCTTTTGTTAGATTTAGGTTCTCTTGCGCGTGATTGATTATGCGGTAAGGTTCTGGATTAGTTGTTCCGGGTTGCAGCCGTGCTTGCAGTTAAAAACACATATATTCTTGAGAGCGTTGTACACTACCAAAAAGGGTTACTATTTTCAGTCTGCTAGGTTGATTGTCTCTTCTCTTTCAAAAGAACGACTAGTGTATCAATAAAAAAAGATCAGGATAGAGCAGCTCTTAAATGATGTTTGCTTTACATTTGCTTTCTAACACATCCCGCGTTGCAGATCAGATGAATCGAGATTATGGCATATACATCTTCAGCTTACTCATTCATATATGCCGCGGTGCTGAATATGCTTACACAATTGAGGTGGACGCTGGCAGGCATAATTGCTTCTTTCAGACTGTCAATAATACCCATCACAAATTTATGGAAATTGATTATCAGGCAAGCTTCTTTCTTTTTACATAACTTATCAAATCGTTGTTGCTTTTGTAATTTACCAATGAAAATGATGATGATTGTGGATATGTTTCTCATCTTGGTCGGATTCGATTTTAATGTTACCTCTATGCATGGAAACTTGGCATCTAGTCAGAAGAATGAATTAACTTTATTAACATGAGAATAAATGAAGGAAAAATCACGAAGACACATTCAAACTACAATTTTAGGTGGTTGATGGTGGCGATTTGAATATCAATTTTATGGTGCTTTTTGGTACCAAAATTTTACTGCAAGAAACGAAAAAGGTGGAGGGAAGTCATAAGTAAGGTTTGCGTTTCGTTTATGCAAATAAACCGATCATCATCAGCAGATTGCTGATTTTTGTTTATTCGTCCCCCTTTTCAAATTTTTTTATAAAAATATCTGTGGAGGGTTAGTTTTTGTGAAATAATAGTACTGTTAAACTGAAGGGATTGAATTCATCTGAAATTTAAATTACAGTGTCTTAGAAGATACTTATTATGGCAGCTGAGGAGGAGGCATCGAATATTTTAAAAAGGCGATCATTGGTTTCTAATGATAGCACTGTTGAAGGTTTTCGATTAAGGAATCTGGCGACTACCAGTTATGTTTCGACAACTCATTTAGTTATCAAACACGTAAAGTTCTATTTTTTGAACTTTTTTTGTTAGATGAAAATGGAAGCTTTGATGAAACAAACATGCTTGAAGAATTCGGTCCTGTAAGGCAGGAATACAGTGGACTTGGTTTTGAAATGCAGAAATTTCAAGTATGTTTGCATATTTTCGACAAAATTAGAACTAAGCTCTTAGAAAGTTTATGACTTTAATTGGTTTTGTTTTCTTAGTGCCATCCTTTTTTTTAAAAGATTGTCCTTTTACTGTTCACTCTATCCGTTCTTCTGGATACATTGCCTGAGAATGTAAGCATATTGCAGAGGGATGTGAAGGAGACTTAACACTTAAAAGTACATTGTTTTATGTCAAATAGTAATTAACTGAATATTTTCAATGATTTAGTCATTGGTTCTCTTTTCATGTAATTGTAATTTGCATTTTTCTTTGTAAGAAAAAATCTGATGGAAATGATGTATTCTAATTTTAGAAAGCATCTAATAACATTAAAAATCTACTGAATAAAATCGAATATCATCAATCGCTATTGCGAGCTTACGAAGCACGCGATCGAGCGATAATGAATGCCAATCTCGAGCGTGTGACCTTGTGGTCAGTCGTCAATTCGGTCATTCTAGTAGTCGTTGGTTTATTACAGGTGCTTATTATTATTATTGCATTATTTTATATGAGTTTTTTTATGTGGCGTATAAACTGTAGTTACTTCCAATGAGAGCAGCTTATTGTTACTTCATTTTAATGTATTGTTTTTTCCAGGTGTATATGATAAGAAGTTTGTTTGAAGATAATTCGAAGCTGGGGCAGTTATTAAGGCGACAACTTTTTTGACACATATTAACCTGCACCGTCTTTTCATGTGATCAATTTATGATATGGTAAAAATGACCTATATTTCTGTGATGGGAAGACAACTGTGATATGTATCATGATAGAAATGTTTAATATTGTTGTTTTATGTGAGATTGCAGGATTTTATCAGCAACGGATTTTGGGCAGGAGAAACATAATTCAGATAGGGCGAGGTGGTAGAAGAAATAAAGGTTTTCTTGTAAAAAAGTAGTAATAAATTTCAAAGATTGATCTCTTTGCTTATTTCACCAATAACTTTGATCAGTTCGAAACTGATGAGTGATAAAACTCTGATTAATTGGATATTAGATTGGTTTATTTTTCTTTCTTGTTATTTTCCACTTATTTCGAGGTTAGTTGCGATCTCTATTACATTTGCAGTTTACTAACTGATATTTAGCAGTTCATTTCTTTGCAGCTGAAAATCCAATTGTTTTAGATTAGTTAGTATAAATAAAATGTTATTTATACAAGCTTTTGTACATAGTGCTTGTTGCAGCTGGCTGATGTATCTCCTTTGTATCTCTGCATACTATGTAGGAGAGGTTTTATTCATGAAAACTTGTTACCAATTCTACACTAATAAAATAAATGACTTAGGACAGGATTTCAGTGTTTAAAAAACGTATCAAAAAGGATACCACATAATTCAGATATTAAATCTATGCTTAATTACAGAAGCTAGGGGATGTATAAAAATGTTCCATTAGTCGTTATTATCGTATAATTGGCTTTTAAAATATTTCCACTTTTCGAAACCTAGATCTCAGTGCGCTAACTGAACCTGAAGTCGATTTATTGATTTCTCTATCTTGAAGGGCCCTTTTTTCTAGCAAGTAGACGGTTGAGATAAGAATTGGGACTATAGAAAATCTAATACGAGGTTAATGAAGTTAATGAAGTCTTTGTATGACTTGTTGCGCTAAGAGTATATTGAGATTAGTAGTGGTCAGCAGAAAAAACAAAAAACGAAGAGGCAAGTTAATCTCCAACAAAATATTTCCCAGTAAAGGTAAAGGCTAAAACACGAGTCATAATATTAAATAAATTTTTCCTAGATACTGATACAGTTCAGAACTTAGCGACTTTATTTTACATTATATGTTATGAACTTCAGTCTTAATTTATGGTGATAAGTTCTGATCGACGTAAGTAATATCTAGGAGCAGTTTTGTGTAACTTGTGTTTCTAATATTTCCTTTACTGGGAGTATGGTTGTTTCCAGTTTGCTGTCTTGCATCGCAGATGATGCGCTTTGCTTTCTTTATTTTGCTATAACTTGTCGCAAAAAATTTTTTGCAGTTTTGGGAGAAAATGGATGGGGAATTTTATCAATAGTAGAAGTAGTTTTCTGCTTATTAAGAGATAGAATGTTGTGATAATGGTCCTGCGTCATTTTGTGTCTCTGTTACTGTCAACGTATTTGATAGCAGCAGATGAATATGAATATACAGTAATTGTGCCGGCAGGGAAGACGGAGTGTTACGGTTTTACGATTGCTGATGAAAAATATCAGTCATTTGAAGTTGAATTTCAGGTAATGTCCTCATTAATCTTTTACATGGAAATTAGTACTTTTTTACTTTTTGATTCATGATAGAAATACGTCATGTAATAATCGATATCTTAGTTACAGGTTACTGCGGGTGGTGGACTTGACATTACATTTTCTATTACATCACCGAAAGGACTACGTCTGATCAATGATTTGAAACATACTGATGGGACACACAAGTCTGTAGAAAATCTATAATTTTGTTATAACCTTTTGTATTCCTAAATGTTTCTTTTTTCAATATTGAACTATCGCTTGATAAAAATTCATTGGATAACGGCTGTTCTAGTATTTTCAAGCATCTTTACTCATGTTACATCTATTCACGGAACTGAAGGACTCTAGAATTTTTGTTCCTTGTCGGAGAGGGAAGAAATTAGGTTCCAGAAAAATTACTAAACTTCCATCGGTAAATTGGCAATGTGCGGAGCGTACTTTTATTAAAACTTTTATTAAAAAGCCGTCTGTAAAGTTTTGGAAGCTTGTTAATTTCAGGATTGATTTGAGTATGTCTAGTGCCGGTTATGGAGACTATTTATTTTGTTTTGATAATACATTCAGCATTCAGTCGGACAAGCGGGTTTTTTTCGAATTATTTCTTTTGGATGCGCAGGATCACTTTCTTGGAGGTTTTGATCAACAGATCAACGTTGGGACAGAAGTTTTACGTACACTGGATATACGTGTTAACCACTTTCAGGTACCTATATTTCATCTAAGCAGATATCCTCCCATGATCTTCTCTTTTAATATTTCTTGATAATTGTTTTGAAAATGATTTCAAATTTTCAGAATGTGACAATGAATGTTAAGAATAATTTAAATACCATCGAAAGGTTGCAAAGACAATATGCAAGTATAGAACTGGCTGATCGAACTGCCATTGAACGCAGTTATGAAATGGTAAATTTCTGGAGCGTGTTGCACTTGGTCATCATGCTTTTTGCCTTCTTTGTACAGGTAAATCGGATTTATGGATAGTTTCGGTGCTAAGAAATTGGTTGATATACCAAACTGTTAAATGAAAGCATTTTCAGGTGTACATGGTGCGTTGTCTTTTTGAAGAAAACTCAAGGATTGGTCTGATCCTACGAAAAGGTCGCTTGAACAATTCTTTTACTTAAGTCATACGTTGTTCAAGTGCACTGTTTAATTATTTACTGCTAAGTTCAGATTGCGTCATATGCGTCATGTATAATTCACAGATTGCGTAATGTAAAATTGACCGTCCATGATATGTGCCTGTAGTGTTTGTCAGTTTTTTTTCTTGTTACAACTGCTCACAAGCTCTCGTTCGTTTCTGAGAGCCTCAAGATGTTGCTTGGTCATCGGGGCATCATTCCACTTCTGCTTCATATTTCGGCTGCTTAGAGCATTGTTATACATTTAAGATTTCTTTGCTTGGTTTTAACCGAGTTTTCGAAATTTAAGGATTTTGGATATACCTATAAAAATTTAAGTTTAATGTAACGGTTCCAGTTGGTTACTCTATAATCTTTACATGATAAAATTTATTTTTGTCTGCTTTTGATACATAAAATTTCGATTACATGACGAATTCCCAATGCGTAGCAGCTTTTCGAAACAGTCATTGTGATTATTTCATACCTATCAATTAGTAAAATATATTATCCAGCACTATATATATATATATATATATATGTAGTTGGAATTTAAGCACAGCATTGCCATAATTTTCCTAAATTCTTTTTTCGCACCGTTATTTGCAGTGCAGTCATAAGAATCTGGAGAAAGTACTACGCGGCAGATTGATTTTTTTGACCGACGATAATTGTCAATATTTCCATGGTTACCGCATGAAGTAGGGAGCGGATGTTTTATGGAAATCAAGTTTTTATTTACATTATAGTGTTATTTTTCATGGTGAAATACGCATTTCATGGTTCTCGGTATCGGATTTTCTGGGTTCTTAGTAATTCTCTTTGCCCAAAACAGCCATATAGGTTTGGAAAGAGAAGTAAGGGAGTTGTTTCAACGTTTCGGTCAGACAAATGTGCAATCTTTCCAGGAAGATATTATTAGTAATTCTGGAAGTTTTTTATGTTTGCAATCATTTTTATCAAAGGGCATTATTCAACAATCAAAATGATGTTGCGGTGGTGAAAATGATGGTTTCGTGTAGGCGTCATACAAAGATTATTCTGTGTAGGCGTCATACAAAGATTACTCTTAAGCGTTGTAGACGCTAACACAACAGCAATTGTATTCATGTGTTGCAGAAGCGGAAAAAGATGTCAAGGTCAAGGCTATACACATCGGAAGGTTACGATAATTCTTATCATGTCATTTCTGTTATTGGTCGGGGTGCATTCGGTGTCGTTTTGAAAGCAACTCATTTCCAGGCAGGTTCTCCAAATAATATGTCAAAATTGTCACAGCTCAGTAGCAAGATTAAGTTATCAAAATGGCCATAATTTTGGATATTTTAATCGTTTATGGTTTTTTAATAAATATAATGATTTTTAAAATCCTTGCATATGATTAAATTTTTATAGATTTAGTAAATCTTTTCGACTGTCTCATTTTCTTGGTCATTTTCAGAATAAGACAGTTTGGTTTAGATTATTGGGGCAGCAGCAACAGAAACTTGTACATAGGATCTGAAATGGTAGTCAAATAGCACAATGAAGCATTTTTTTACAGAGCCATGAGGAAGTGGCTATTAAACGAATACCGTTGAGACGAAACAGTCAAAATGAAATTGCATTGATTCGAGAAGTGTTCGCCCTGCGAAATGCCTACCACAAAAATGTTTCTTAATATTTATTCATCAACATGAATAGCTCACAATATACATTTAGTTTTCCGATCACTCAGAGGCTGGAAGATTTCTTTTTTTAGAAACTCTTCTTTATTGTTGAGTTAACGAAGGAACTGTTTTTTCTATTCTGAGATCATATTTCTCAACAGCTTTTTTGAAGTTTTCTTAATGAATTTTTATCTGCTTTAAAAGGTAAATGTTGTTGAATTATCATTTTCAATTAAGATTGTAAGATTATTTGATGTGATTCTGAATACGGATGCGGTTTCCCTTGTGATGGAATATGTCGGATCCAGTTTGAAATTGGCAATTGAGGATTTTAATCGTCCATTAAATGATGAAATTCCTCGATACTATATGTATCAATTATTTATCGGTTTGGATTATTTGCACAGCCTGAATATCATGCACCGGGTGAGCTATTAATTCCGGAGCGAAATTGCTTCTTAAGAAAAAACGAGCCGATTAATTGTAGTATTTTCTATTTGGTACAACTGTATTAATATGTATGATGTTTGGAGGATTTAAAACCGGATAATGTATTGATCACATCGACAGGACTACTGAAAATTACGGATTTCGGACAATGTTGTATTTATGTATCGGATGATCCCAGCCGAAATTACGATTGTCAGGTAAGAATAATGAACGAAATAAAGGAAAGAGGGAAACTTGCTACTACTACTTATTTGTTTCTGTTCATTCGGCTAATTTCTGAGAAAATTCGAAGTGTTTGGACGCTAGGGAATCAGCTATTCAAAAAATGTTTTGCGTTAATTTGTTCCGAGTCAGGTAACTAACTGCTTCAGGTGGCATCCAGATGGTACCGGGCACCCGAATTATTATTCGGTTTGACAGCTTATAATCCTAAAGTAGACGAGTGGGCTTGTGGCTGTATATTGACGGAATTTTATAATTGCGAGCCACTATTTGCGGTACCGTTTAATTGCAATGATTCACTATAACAAAATGACATCTTACATGGAATTTCAGTATCTTCCGCACAAGAATTTGAGTTAGGAAATTAATGTTAAAATGTTGGTCTTGAATTCCAATGGGATTTGTTTGCACAGATTCGAACTTGCTTGCTGAATCTGTAATCCTTTTTGTGGCAAGTATAAATATCACTATCAGAAGAATAGCTGATGAAGTATCTCGTTCTGATTTATTAAGATTCGTCCTTTGTTTAGACAATAACCTCGTCATTCCATTAAATTTAGAGTTTATAATCGATTAGTCTATTGATGAAGTAATCACATTACAGGGCAGAAACGATATCGAACAAATAGGAAAATTAATATCGGTGCTTGGCTCACCTTGTGAACGAAACTGGAAAGGTTGGAATATTATGCCGGATCATGGTAAGATTATTTTTGAGGATAATAAACCGATGGACAATTGGAAATCAATAGGTAATTCCTTTTTATTCTCACTTCATCCCATAAATTAGAGAACTAGGTTAAAATAAACAAACTGTTTGGATAAAGCAATATGAACATTTCTCCGACGTATTACCGTTAGTTAAGATTACAAAATCTCCGTACCGCACTTTGAATACAATTTTTAATTTTTCTCATTGATTTGTACAGAAGTGTTTTATCAAATTATACCAAACTTCATTTGATATCTTCCTGGAAATGTTGCTTTAAGTTTAAAATCCAGGTATCTTACTTCAATGAAATTAATTTTCAGTGCCACTAGCTTCCGAAACATGTCTTTCCCTACTGCAGAAACTCATCATTTATTCAGCTGAAGAACGTTTTTCAGCAGAAGTAGCTTTGCAGCATGAATTTTTTATTGTCAATATACCTAAACAAGCACCGTATGTACCACCTCCAATGAGTTTCAAAATTTCGCAACAGACGGATTCTACTGAACGTGATTTGAACGCTAGCTTAGCGCAGAATTACGTAAATTAACTGAATATATTTTGGGATATGGATTCGGATCAGTGGAAAAACAAAGATATAAAATTCTCTATTTCCTTTCCACTAAACAGTGTCCGTTTGTTTTGGATGTCATTTCTGATACGATACAAAAGATCGCTTAATAATCATGTTTAATGTTTTTTATTAAAAAATCATATATAAATAGAAATGAGATCAAACAACTACATAATACTGTCAACAGACAAACATTCGAATGTTTAATTCAATTGAGTTTAATTCTATTCAGTTCTATTCAACATAATACCATACAGGAAGAAAAAGAGGTTTATATTCAAGCCCATACATACTTACTTGTAGTGCAATTTTATTATGATCTTTACGATTGTCGAAATTCTCATATAAAACAGTAACATATTTAAATGTTGCATTTCCTTCGTTTAAAAAATTTTGGGAAATTTCTATTTTTATTCAAACCACTATAGATAAAATGTTGAAAGAAAGAGAGTTAGGCGAGAAAAAGTAACGGTTTGTTTCAGTTATTTCTTTCAGCCAAAAATTTACTTCCCACTGAATCCTGCCACTGACTTGAGCGTCGACTGAGGGATGTGCTCGCCTTTCGCATTTGAGGTACGGATGCTGAATTTTTGAATTGCGATGTCGATGCTTTTTTCAGTTTTCTGCATTCTAACCGCCTCATCTAAATTTTATAAGAAATTTGAAAAAGTTCTTAGCACGTATTTCTTAACTTTGAAAAGCGTGGGAAATTTTCACATTTATCAGTTCGAAGAGGCATTTGGGATGCATGTGAAATAATTATTCATTATGCAAAAGTTGGATGCAAAAGAAAGCAGAAAATGCCATTTAGTGAAATGAAAACTTACGAAGTAGGAAAGTAATATGTGCATAAGACGGCGACGAAAATGCACTGAACTTGAGCAAAATAATACAAAATTAAGAACTTTCCCAGTGATAAGCAACGAATTAGCAATGCTAACTGTTGCTAAAAAAGGCCGTGGGTTCTCCTTAGATATGCCAAGTGTTTCCCAAACGAAGGGTATCAGTGATGGTGCCTAAAATCCACACAGTATTTGATAATTACATTTGTTAGAAATGTCCCATGTTTAGGATTTCTCTCCTGGCAGTCAGGCAAAACTGGTCTAGAAAATTGGTTCGATGTACGAACCATTAAAACAGTAAGCTGAACAGCTGACATGAAAGTAAATAATTTATTGAATCCAAATTAAATAGAAGGTAACAGATAAAAGTTTGGACACTTACATGGGTTACAGTAAAGCAGGTTACAATTGCTATTACGGTAACAGTTACTTTCTTCTCCTGTCGTTGCATTATTCCAGTATCGTTACAATTTCGCAGCATACTGCAACGATAGATATTTATGTTTAAATTTATTTTAAAATTTAAAAACAGAAATAAAATTCTAGAGATTTTTTTCTTCCATCTCTTTTATCCAACTTCATGCATTCCAACTTAGTTTGTTTGTCTCTTTTTCTCTCTTATCCTATTTACTCTAGCCCTTTTTTATCCAAAAATGTGACAAGAAATTAAACCTATGATCACTGTTATTACTGGTACTACGATTTCGTTGTGTTACGACACGATTACGCATCAAGCAAATGAGTGATACATTGAGGAATGCAACGGCAACAATGGGTACTAAGATAACTGTTATCAGTTGTAAATACTTCCCATAATGAATATACTTTGTCAGCACATTACCATATAGTTTACTTCCAGTCCAGTTATAATTTATCTGCAATTTACATCTGTTTCATTATCTCGGTAAATTTTAAATTTGAAATTTTGTTAAATATATGAATGAAAAACGGGGAGATCTTAACGATAATAGAACCTGCAGAATTGATCACCTAACCGAATTTAGCTCAAAATCTTATAGCACTATATTTTTTCGGAACTAGGATTTTAATAATTTCAAACCATATTTTGTAAATATTTACGATATGTTAAAGACGCTGCAAAATTATATTTAACTTCAATCTAAAATACTTTAATTAGCTGATGGATTCAGCTTCCATTTATATCATCATGAAATCTGTCAAGAAGCCGATAAACGACCATTTTAGTGTACATCTCCGCTATCAGCTATCACCAGCAAACATGTTGCTCTGAATATAATCGAGAGCCCATCAGAATGTTTCATTCTCAAGCTCATTATAATTTTCCATCTGTCAATTAATTGAAGATAAAAGTGAATAAAATTATAAAGAACATACCGGCCTGACGTTACCCTTTAATTGAGTGCCATTGCATAAAGTGTATATGCTGGATTTGTAAGCAATGTGATGATAAAATGTGATCACAAATGCGCCAATGAATATCGGCACAATAATCAGTAGGACACCTCTTTCTTTCCACTTAAAATGGGCATGAACCGGTGATCGAATACCAATGAATCGTTCCACAGATACCGTAAGCACTAGCCTGAGAGTTAAATGCTGACAATATTAACAAGATCAAAGCGTTACAGTAATATTTAGTGTCTAGTACCTCATTTTATAATATCGGCATCAATTTCTAAACAGTACAAAAGACACATCTATAAAAGCAATGTAAGAGTATAAATTGAGGAGTAGGAAAGTAAAAGTGTAAGAGAATATAGCAAATAAATAAGAACAATAAAAATGAACATCATTGATAATTATATTATATCTATTTATTTTGGCCATTAATTTTCTGATGTTCATACAGTTAAGCGACTTATTGAAATAGAACAAATTAGTAGATAGAAAGAATGAAAAAGCTCTCTTCAGTAGCTATTTCCCAAACTATAGCTCATTAAATGAGAGCATTGGTATGAATATATAAAATTATAAGTTATATAAAGGATAGCGGTAATTTCGGCTTATTTGCATATCTCATAATTCAATAGTTCGTAAAATAAAAGAAAAAAAGTGGAAAATATAGGAAAAGGACGAGCCAAGTTGCTGCTGTGGAGAAAAAATTTGCGAACGCATTTAATTGTCGCTTGCTAACATAGTAAAAATAGCGAAATGCATAGCTGCGATATGCGATTTCAAAGGAGGCCAACGAATGCGGTAACATGCAAAATAATAGGGCCAAATCCGCAAATGCCATTGCTGATAACAACAAATTTGTCTAAAAATATTGTCTTTCATTTGGAATAAAAATGAAATATGCATGTATCTTTGAATTCATATCAAATATTGGAAAATCTATAAAGTTGAAAAATTGTTAAAATTCGCACTATTATGAAAATAAATGAAAAAAAGAGGAGGAAAAAACCTTTGAACGCATCCCTTTGCTGAGTAATACGATAAGATTGATAGAATTGCCAGCAACACCAAGTATGAATTGTATAGGAAACATATAATGTTGCAAGAAATCATCCAAACTGCCATTAGTTAGTAAGAGCTGCTTATCTCTGAGACACGAAGTCTCCAGCATCAGAATGCCGAAGGACAGTAATCTCCGGTTAGTTTGATCCTTCGAATTTACTAAAATTCAATGAAAATTGATCAGATAAAATTTTATTTATCTATTTGGATAAAGAGAAAAGGCGGAATAAATAAAGAAGAAATAAATCAAATCCAACGCTGCTACTGCTAGTAGAAAATAATAGAAACGAAATGCATCGTTACCCCTCAACACTATTAAATGTATTAATTAACTCATATCACTACTAATTGCTTCCTCACATTCTCTAAAGAATTAATTAATCGTCAAAAAAGAAAAAAATTGGACATTTATAAAAATGAATGCTGAGAAAGTGATGCAAACTGCAAAAAATGAACAAATTTTGCAAAAGGAAAGGAATGAAAGTGCAAAATATATTATTGGTTTATGTTTGATTGTTAGACACAGTTGTTGTAAAATTGTTGGCTCAATTCACTCTCCCACAAAGAATTCCACATTATACAAAAAAGTTGAGATTCCAAAAAATTTTTAGGTTTCCAATTTTTGTGAATAAGACTTTTTAATAAGACTTTTTTTCTTTGTGAATAAGATTTTAGGCACTTCTCCTTTTTCTTCTCCTTTCACTTCTCCTTCTCCTTCCATCCTTTTTCTTCTAAAAAATAACAACTACCTGATGTTAACCATAGTTTAGCTATATCTTAATGTACGACAGATTATGCACTTCATTTCTTTACAGATGGGCAGATTTTTTCTCTTCTGTTGTATCTCTCAATGGTAATTAAATATCTTACTTCTCTTTATGACTATTAGGAGTTAAACTGTTTTATTGCATCGACAAGCCAGAAATTCCTACTGATAGCATTCTGAGAATGAAATTATCGATGATAGTACCAAGCGAAGCAGCATTGTGGTTCATCCTTTATAGAAATATTACATCATTCAGTTTGCAGGAGACAATTAGTTCTTTCCTATAATAATTTAACACTTTTGTCATGGTAAATTAAAATTGAGGAATTTTAGCTGGATAACCATGTGACAGTAGTAGTTCAAAAGATATATATTCTTCAGTTTGTAAATTCTGTGGCACATTTTGAATATATCTGTCCATAGGTCTGTCTATTTGTTAATTAACTTATCGGAGCGGTTTTTCAAGGAGATTACAATTACATCCTTATACAAATAAATCAAGAAACACCTAAATCAAGAGATGCCCACAATCCTTAATATTATAAATAAAGAAGTTTGTGGGCTGATATTTAAGGAATCACTTGTAATTGCATTTCAAATCTTGATTGAAAAATACTTCAATAAATTAAAACTTTGTATGGGGGAAAATTTATGCATGCATATGCATTCCATTTTTCATATATCTGTCTGTTGTTTTTTTTTTTAATTACAAATTTTTCCAAAAAGCAAAGTAACAAAATACTTTGAGGCTGTCAATAAATTTAATAGATTTCTTGTCGTTTCAAAAATATAAAAAATTATAATTGGAGCACTTCTGCAAAACCAGAAATATTTATTAAATTATTACAAACGTACTAATGTGAATTGGCTTGATTCATTTATAATAATAAATTCATGATTATGAATGCAATTAATCATAAACGAACTAT